CAGGAGGTGGGGTGTGGGGTTGGGTGGGTTAGTTTGCATGTGGAAGGAGCACTTGCAGGTGAGTCATCCCTACCTGGGGGAATTGGCTACCCTGGGGGGGGGGCCCTTTCTAAGGTCAGCAAGGCCCTGAGATGTCAGTGCCGCAGAACACAGAAGGTAAGGCATGATTCATGTAAGTGAATTTGTCAAGCTCTCAGTCCTAAAGTGTCTAAAAGTCCTCAGATTTTACCCAAGTCCATTACTTAAGTTGTGGGGTGTCTTTGGTAAAAAACAACTTGTCTCACTGAATTCAGTTACATTCAGTTTTTAAAAATATCAGCGAGGTAATTCAGTCAGGACGCACCAGCCTGATCTTTGAACAGAACTTTTAAGCCCTGAATGCAATTCGATACAAAATCTCTTGTTCCCTTCATTATGTATGGTTGTTGGTATTTGTTCTGTACTTCAGTTATTTTCATTAAAAACATACTTCTTGTTAATTTATAGATACTATGAGTCATACTTTCTAAGTACCCAAATGCACATTTTTACTTTAAAAAGTCAAATGACACCGTTAGAACATCCTTTCTCTGAGGAGTCCCCACAAAGGCTCGCATTGCAAACGTTCCAGCATTTGGTTACTTGAGATTGCGCCTCATACCCAGTGTAATGTCAGCTCTTTCCTCCTGTAAACCCCAAGTGTAAAGGCATCCCTGGCCCGAAGCAAGTCCTCTGAGGAGCTCCTGCTGGGAAATGCACAGCAGCTCCTCCATGCCGTCTCCAAGACCGTGCGGGCCGCGGAGGCTGCGAGTCTCAGGGTGAGTGCTATCCCCAGAGCAGGACCTGGCCGTAAGCACACCCGTGCGGCACTGTGACTTGGGTCAGAGCCTGACAGGAACATGATAAACTGCATACGTTCATGGGGAAACCCTACCTTCTTCTTAGTTGTTAAATTCGCCCTGGCCAGGTAGCTCCATCGGTTAAAGTGTCATCCTGACACGCCAAGGTTGCAGGCTCAGTCTCCACTCAGGCCACATGCAAGAATCAACCAAGGAATGCATAAATAAGTGGAACAACAAATTGATGTTTCTCTCAAAAAAAAAAAAAAAAAAAAAATTCAACTTGATTCTATCCCCAACGTGCCACCTGTGTTTCAGTTTGGCTAATTTCTACCAACTTACCTTCAGCTTCACTGATTCTTTCTTTAGCCATGTCCAGTCTGCTGATGAGCCTTTCAAAGCATTCTTCATCTTTTATTATCATTTTTTTATTTTTTAGCATTTTCATTCCATTGTTTCTAATAGTTTTTTGTCTCTCTGCTAAAACTTCTCCATCTGTTCATGCGTTTTGTCTACTTTTTCCACTAAAGTCATTAATATGTTAACCAGAGTCATTTTTAACTTCCTATCTGATAGTTTCAACAAGTGGCTCGTACCTGAGTATGGGTTGTTGGATTCCTTACCTCTTGACAGTAAATTGTTCTTCTTTTTTTTTTCCTTTTTGTGTGTCTCGTAATTTTCCACTGAAAATTTCACTTTATGTGTAGACTGGTAGAGATGAACCGAATAGTAAATATGCCTGAAAATGGCAGCCCTTTTCTTCTAGGCCTTTCGTGTGGGGTAGAGTCAGTACAGCCAGGATTTGCGCTGAGTGTGGCTGTTATTGGGATAGTCACCCCTGACACGCCACCAGCTTCAGATGTTGCAGCATTTCTTTTGTGTGTAGTTGGGGTTTGGGTGTCTATCAATGTTCCTGCTCCACTCTCAGCGTGAGGCTTGCCTTGTGCAGGTGCACCTCAGAGCCTGCCTCTCCCATGGCTTACTTGTCACTTGTGACCCAATGCCTGGAGAGGAGGTGGTGGCATCGTCGTTGTCCTCATTCAGCCTCGATTGTAGGCAGGCCCGGTGTCCCAGGCCCGGTGTCCTAGGGGTTAGGGCTTTCTCAGTGATCCTACTCCTCCCCCAGCAATAGACTCTTAATGGTATGAATTTTCTGCTTCTTCCCCAGGGGAAAAGGCCTGCATTCTGTCCCTTTCTGCACTTGGCAAGGTCTTGACCTATGCCTTAGGGATGACAGGGTTTGCTGTCCTTCCCTCAGGGACTTTGGGCTTTTGTTCCATGAGGAGACAATGTGGGCAGGGGTTCCTGCCTTTTGCCACAGTGCCGACTGCCCCCCTCGCCACTACGAGGGACATTCCCAACCTCCTGCCCTGCCCCGGATTCTTCTCATGATCCCAGGGGAGGTCCCAGAGAAAGCCCGAGAACAGGTGTGGACTGTTTTTAGGTTGTCGTTCTCGAGGGTCCTATACACTCACGCTAGTGTACACTCGGCTATCCGCAACTTATTAAGAATTTCAGCTCAAGTCTTCCTCGCAGATTCTCTGGCAGCCCATTCTTCTCCTGTGCTCTGTCCTAAAGAAGCCGGTGCCGTGTCCCTGCCTCGATAGGGAAGTGGCCCTCTTTTCTTAGATTTCAGGCTAGTTGCATGCCCTTCACCCCCAATGGGTTTCAAGAAAGACTGCGGTTTTGTGAATCATCTGACTTTCTTGTAGTCGGGGTGGGCGGGAGCAGCACTCGCCCCAGCTTCCTATGTCCCAGTGGAGGCTGGCAATACTGGGGAATACTGGAACGCCCAAAACACACCTGGCCAGGGCCTTGGCACATGCTTACACGGATTAATTCTACCTGGGAGACGCGCCCCTACCCCTTAACTTCTGCCAAATTTCCCCATGTCTGGCTCCTTCAGGCCTTCAGGCCCAAACTGAAATTCCACCTTCTCAGAAAATAAATAAGGCATGACCCAAAAGGAGGCAGAATTTGGGGTAAAGAGAGAGTTTTAAAGAATTAACTACATTCTCAGAACACGGTGTGTTGACGAACGTAAGATCCTTTGCGCTGTTGGGCTTCCCCTTTCAGAAAGAGGGGTGCCAACCCAGGGGACCTCTTCGAACGCTGTTCCTTGCCCCCTATTAAAGTAGGACTATGGCATCAGAGAAGCAGCCGAGGAATCCCCTCGGAGCTCCAAGGAGCGGACCCCGGGAAAGCGCGCCCAGCGCCCCCCAGGACTTACCCATCTTTCTCTCCTCCAGGGCTTGAGACAACTGTCCTCGGATCCCGAGGAGCTGGAAGTGGCCGCCTCCTGCATGCAGTGGCGAAGGAAACTGCTACGGCACAGGCTTCAGGAGGCCTCAAGCCTGGACTGCGACGAGCTGGGCTTGCGGAGAACGAGCAGGAAAACGCCCCCGACGCTCGGGGCCCTGCTCCCAGAAGCACCGTGAAAGCTGAGAAACAGTCTCCCACTCAAACCCTTTGTGGACGTGGCCCTGAGACTCTGGTCACCGTGGGCACCAGCCCGTGGGCACGGGAGGTGACGGTGGGTTGGGCAGATGCTCGTTGTAGTTAAGTTTCTCCGGAGCCCGTCCTGCAGCCACGTTTGCGCAGCTTCATCTGGTCACTCGTCCTGTGTTTGGGGGACCTCGGAGCGACGCATGGCCAGATTTTCAGTGTCCGCCCTCCTGGAAGCCGATGGCCAGCACCGCCTCCTGGAAATACCGAACGAGGCATCTTCTCCTTAAACCCCGGCGGGAGAGCTGCGGGAGAGCTGCTCACCCTCGGGAATCCGGGGTGTCCCCAAGCCAGTGTTCAGATGAAACAGTAGCCGAGGCCTTGGAGCCAACGCTGCGCGCTGGCCGCCGTGAGTCTGGGCTCCGCAAACCGCACGCGCCCGGGGGAGCGGAGGCTGCTCTTCAGCAAGCGTCTGCGGGGCTGCGGGGTTCGGCTCACACCCCCAGATGTGGAAAGGAGGGGGTTCAATGCCCTACGGCACTGGGGCAGGGGTAGGGGGCCTGTAGCTTTGTGCCGGTGCCGGGCAGTCACTGGTTGATTCCCATCTTTCCGATCACGGACGGCGCTGGTCTGCTGGCCACCCCTGCTGTGTCTATACCCGGGTGCCCCGAGACCCTTTCTGTGATTGGCAAGTGCTCCCAGGGGGCATCCGCGCACCTCCCTCTCCAACTTTGCCCCTGCTCAGTTCTTACCGGCTCAAGACCACGGCAGCCCTTCCCTGGCTTCTGCTTTGTGGTCGCCTCATTGTGTCGGGGGGCACCCGTGCCACACGGAGCTGAGCGCCCAGGAGGATCAGGAGTCTGAGAAAACACGCTCGCGTAAGCTTGGCTGCCACGCAGCGGCGATGGGGCCCCTGCACCAGTCTCCTTCCCGGGATCTCAGACAGGCCACCGGCGCCCTCACTACCCGCCGCCCCGAGGAAGCAGCCTGGGCGCCCACCCGACCCATCCACCCTCCCGCTCCCCTCCTTCTGTTCAGGATTCTCAGGGCCGAGAGAAAGGCTTCCTTCCTCCACCCGCCCTCTTCCGCTTGGCCCTCCCTGAAGCAAAACCCTGCTCACGGGTGCACTGAAGGGAGAGTAAAGAAATTCAGGCATCATTTCAAACGAGGTGACGGTCTTGCTGCAAAGTCCCATTTTTTGAGCGTCAAAGCTGAGTGTGACCTCCACCCTCTTTGTGTTCCTTGTAACAAACCGTAATAGTCTCTCTCTCTCTCCTCTCCACTGTCCCATTTGGATGGATGTCGCGAGCCAGTGAGGCCAATAAGTTCTCAAACTCAAGAAGACCAAAGAGCAAGTCCATTAATAACCTTTGAAATAACACACCNGGACGACAAAAGAGCAAGTCCATTAATAACCTTTGAAATAACACACCCTTAAAGGCTATTTCTGATGCTGCTCCGGGATGGAGGTGAAACTCGGGGACGTCGAGAGGCTTCCCTCACTTTTGGGAAAAGTGCTTCTAAGGATACGTAAGGACACTCGGACCTGCGGGAGCCCTGCAGTGCCAAGTGCCTCTAAGATCGGTGGAAACATTTGCCTGTTTTCAGTTACGGCTGATCCACCCTATGTTGGAAGTTTGCTTTGCTCTATGGGAACACTTTGGCTTTTTCGCTCTCTTGGGTGCCATCGAAACGACAGTGGGGCCCATATTTCACTGCTCCAATTCCATCTCCAGCCTCTGGCTGACGTATTGTTTTGAAGATCCCAGAAAAAGAGCAGTCAGCGTTTTTTCTGACTCATCGGGTGTCCTGTGTACTCAGTGTCAGTAAAAGACAACTGCAAGTGTGTGAGCCTGTCTAAGCTTTTCTAAGTTGAAACTAATTTATTCAGTCAATAAACATTTATTGAACATTTATTGGTGGGGTTTCCAGGGATTTATTGTAGTGGGAAGCAGGACATGGACATGTCATGGTGAGCACTCAGTGAGCATTAAATAAATGCTGCTGNGTGGGGTTTCCAGGGATTTATTGTAGTGGGAAGCAGCAGCCTGCATGGACATGTCATGGTGAGCACTCAGTGAGCATTAAATAAATGCTGCTGAGCTGTATTTATTTAATTCTGGCTGGCGCCCTGTGTTAGCTTAAAGTAAAACTGTAACCCCTGTGTAAACTCGGGGCCCTGACCTTTTCTAACCTTGATTACCAGACAAAGAGGGGGATCTAAGATCATCTTGTCTGAAGTCCCTTTCAAGAATTAAAAAAAAAATGACTTTAACTCTTCTCCAGATAAAATTAAAGTATTTTTCTGCCTGGAAATACCATGTCTTGAGTGGACGGGAAGTTTTCTGTATGTAACAGTCTTTGGAAAGCCCACGGGAACCTGTGCGGTCACCCCAAAGGGCCCCGAATTAGCCTCCTCAGGGAAGGTGGTGGATCCCATCCTCCAGTAGGGAGCTGGCCAAGGATCTACTTGCCACCCACTTCAACGAAGCACAGATTGCGATTCTAAAGGCCCAGAAAAGAGCCCGGAGGGACCATGGAAAATGGTGATTCCCAGCTCTCACTCTGTGACACCTGAGGACACCGTCCCTCGGGAAGTCATTGCTGGGTTGGCAAAAGGAAACCAAGTTTGAACTCAGTAACGATAAATAGAAATACCTCCCGAAAGGCACTTGCGGACAATAGAACGAGGTCTTGAGAACTGTAACCCAAGGTGGGGGCCACCAGCCCAAGTGGCCTTGCCCCTCCTTACCCGCGGCGGGCTCAGCTTTGGAAAGGGGCGCGGGCCTGGCTCCCTGGAGCTTCACGGGCGCCCCGAAAACGCCCTCGCTCCTGGGTTGTGAGATGGTGCAGGTGGATCCCAGCACCCCAGCCTCCCCAACCAGCACGCGGGGAGGTTTTACCGTAATTATCGCAAATGAAGTCAAGGGGCAGAACCACCTCCACCCCCGGTGTGAGGGCCTCAGAGAGGCGCACGGTGAGATGTGAATGTTTAAGTAGCCCTAGGGCCACCCCACTTTCCTTCCGCTCCTTGTAGCCTCTAAAACGTGTCCTGTGCACTTGACCGTTTGGTATTCGCCACAAAGCAGTGTGATCACTCCCTGCAGCGCCACTGAAAAAGCAGTCTGTCTCACCCATCTCTGAAACTCAACGCCCAGCAGCACATGCTAGGCGCTCAAACACCGACTTCGACATGAGCGATGAGTCCCTGTTTTGTCGACAAGGAAGGGATACTCAGCGACGTCCTGACTGGTTCACTGCGACATCACGCGGGGCAGACCGTGCCGGCTCCCAGGGGACAAGTGTCCACCATCAGAGCTGCTCCACAGTTCAGTGCAGTCACTGACTGGGCTCCCTCATTCTGATTGAACATCCAGGAGAAGCCAGAGCACATTTCCTAACGGGGTTTCCTGATCTTCGAGGGTCCGATCGCGGGGGAAGAATGACCAGGCTCTCTGCGAGCCTTTTCCGCCAGGAGATCCTAGGCTGACCCCAGAGCTCCTGCTCTGCACACTTGCCAGCAGCCTCTCAGGGTCAGATCCTCGAACAGAAAATTAATGTACGCTGACGTCTGAGACACTTCCCAGAACAAAGGCCTGTCGGGCAGGAGGGCCTTCCGTGCGGCCAGCCTGGGCACTAAGGGCACACCGAGGACAAGCTCGACCCACCCTCTTCTTTCAGGAAGGCCAGGAGGGGTTCCCGTTACAGGCTCTTATATGAGTACACGGCTCCCCTGTCTTATGTCTTTAATATGATGAATGCATTAAAGCAAAGCAATACACTGCCAGACAGGTATTATTAGAAACATTTTTATTTAAAGTCAGACAGTTGAAAGGTGTCACAGAAAAAAATTACAGAAACTTGCAACAACAGAATGTAACCTTGGAAAAGTCGTTAGTAAATGAGAAGAAGTAATAGATATTCCTGATTTTACCAAGTGATTTGTTCGTCCTAAAGCAGAGTAATTTATCAGTTCAGCAAAATACACCCACCGCTGGTATCTTTTGAGCAGATAGATTAAAAATTTAGTTAATCTAATAAATTGGTATTTACTAAAAGCTTCCCGAGTGAAACAATCAAGGCAGCATTTCCCCAACATCTAAGATACAACTTGGGGAGTGAAATAATGCTAGGAAGTTAAAAAAAAAAACCCACTTTATACTGAATAATAGGTTTGACCTGGATTTCAGCCCACAGATGGTGCCTGTGGATCTGATAAAAAATAGGCCATAAGTCTGGGCCCAGCTCCCCCTACACACACTCTCTCTCTCTGCATCTTAGGACACAGTGCCACCAGTACCCTTGCCACCTGCCGGCCCAGAAGCCCTAGGCTAAAGGCCAAGTGACCTGGACCCTGGCACCCTGGATCTATGCTGAACCCTTTCTAGTCATGGGTGGAGTAGTGGGTTTAGGGCAAGGAGTGAAGGTTTTTTAAAACTTTGGCAAGTTAAGTATACAAACAACTATTTCTTGATTGTCAGTTTTATAAGGAAATATTCTATCTCTTGAAACGACAATTCTCCTACCTTATTTGACTTCCCTCTCAAACATTTGGAGGGCAAACTCCTGTTTTAAAAAGCATGTAAAATGTACAGTCTATCACTGACAACTAACCCCAAGCTATTGCTCGTAATGGAGGTCTGAGAATGACAAGGCTCATTTTTTAAAAAAGTTGGCCCTCTCTTTAATTCCTTTACAATAAACTATATATCAGACCAATGACAGACTTACATTAGCTGATGCGATCCGTCTTCAATTCAAATGGAGATTGCAGCCAAGGAATCAAGAGAAGGCTGAGAACTGGAAGGGCAGCAATGAAAAAATTAGGAAAGACCAAGAGCAAAGATGTGTCATTAGAGACCAAGCTACGGCCACCCACACCCTCTTGTCCCCAATCACTATGTACGGATGCAAAAGTTGGGCAGGGAAGAAGGCTGATAGAAAACAGTTGATTCCTCTGAAACACGGTGTTGGAGGAGAGCTCTGTGGATACCCCAGGCCACCGGACAGATAGCCACATGGGTCCTAGAGCAGATTAAG